ATGTTATTTTATTTGCAAGGGCGAGTTTAAAATTACTGGAGACAAGGGGGGGGTGGGTGATGCAAGAGTAGATAGGAGGCTGCTTGACAGATATCGACTCACGGAGTATTTAGTTACTTTGATATCAGTTCTGGATTTAAGGGGCAAGCCGGTTCAGGGACGGACATGCAGCCTTAAGAGAGCAACACCGCCGTTTCTTACGCAAAAAAGGGGGGAGATAGCGAGCGAGAGAGGGAGGAAAAGAGAGTGAGAGAGAGAGTGAGGAAGTCCTCCGTAAAAAGAAAAGCGCTAAAGATGGAGGCAAGTGAAGAAGTGGAGGAAGCAGTCGGAAGGTTGGGATAGGATGAAACGAACACACCCCCATAAGCTAAGTAAGTATATATGTAAGTATAAGGAAGTGTATATCTGAGTTCAGAGAGAGACATCAAAAGGTCAGGTCGACCCGGAGGGGATGGGGGGGCCTAAAAAAATACAACGAATCGACTCTTGGGAGAAGCCAGAGGCAGAGTCAAGAGCGCAAGAGAGCAGAGAGCATCGCAGAGCAAGCAGCGAGCCAGCAAGCAGACAGACAGACAGACAGACAAGATGAAATCCACAGGGATGAGAAAGAAACTGTAAAGGAAGGGGGGAAAGCAGCCAAAAAAAAACAGTGGAGCATGAAGAATATATTTCCATACATGCAGAAATACATGTACTTACTTACTCTTACGGGTTTACAGCGACAGCGAGAGCAGAGAAGAGCTGAGCAATGAATGCTCATTCATAGTTATATGTATATACTTCCTCCGTACATACGGAGTTGCTGCTGCTGGCTCCCTTTCGTTGACCCCTTTGTCTCCCCGTCCCGATGGATTCACACTCGGCTTCCTTCGAGGACCAAACGATCCAGAGAGGAGGGGAAGGACTGGCAAAGAGGCCATCGAGGCTCATGCTGGGACACCTGCAAGCTGTGAGAATTATACAGAGAATATCCGTACACTTTCTGTCCGTATCCAGGCATACCGACATTCACCACAGGCTCAGTATCAAGCTTGGTAACGGGAAAGCGACATGTCATCGTTTCGCTCTCGGGCTTGCTGGACACGAATACCGGGTTTACTTGCCCCGACCGGCGTGTCCTGCCAACGAGAGCACAGCCAGCCGTGGAGCCCAAGAGGAAAAAGGAGGGCCCTGTACCTCTCTCTGGTGTAAACGGGGTACGAAAAAGCAAGCAAAGGGGTGGGAAGGGAGCCAGGAAGTGATGCATTACAGGCCGAATACTGACGCCGTAATGACGGGACTTGGGGAGACGCCATTTTTCAGCTTCATCATTTTTTTCTTTTCTTTTTTTCAATTACGAGGGAGAAACTATATATTACGTCCCGGAAGGAAGAGACGGACGGGGGAATGGGAGGGATACAGTGGAGTCTTGTGGTGGGTTCATGATGGGCGACGGGACGCTGGCATGGTCAGGCTTAGGAGATTCTGATATCTGAGGGTTGGGCACGACCCAAAGGGGTAGAGAGTACGGAGTATAGAAGAACAGCAAGCAGAAAGCAGGCAAGCAGAAGAAGCGCCAGCAGAGGCCAAAAAGAAAAGAGACGGCCGTGAAAAGATCAATTATTGTTTCTTTTTTTTTCTGGCTCTTTTTTTCGGCGGTGCGTTGCTTTTGCTTTGGCTGTAGATCGTTTTTGCCTTTGCGTGGCTGATGAATGGAAATGGAATGGGAAATGGGAATAGAAAACGGCTACGATGAAGACGAGAATGAAGATGGCGAGGGAGAAACTAGTCGGCCAGACATGGATGGAAGGAAGCAAAGAAAAAGGTCGTGGTGAAGTAGGTCATCATGTCCGTTGGCTTTGCATAGCCCTCCCTTTTCTTTACCTCTATAGAAACATACTCCGTACGGTGGTAAAGGTCAGTCAGTAGTGTCTTCCTCTGGTCTGTCCATTCGCCTCTACAGCAACAAGGGCTAACCATGTCTCCCTAGGTTTCGATTAACTCATAGTGTAGTCTCTCCCTGCAGGGATCCAAAGGCGCTCCAAACCTTCCCTTTCTTATTCTGTGTTAAACGGAATGGAAAGCAGCAAAAAAGGAATATATGGTGACTGCTGATAAGTTATGATGGGAGCATTTCTTTCGTCACTCGAAAGCCTGTTGCTGACGCTCCGCCTTCGCAGGGCTGCAAAGAAGCAAAGAAAAAAAAAAAGGGGGGACCCAGCAGTCGTGGAGGTGCGATGGAGATAATCTATCCGACACAAGAGAAAGGTCGAACGGTTGGCTAATGCTTTTTGCAGGTCCCTTGAAGGTGAACGAAACCACTGCATTCTCCCTATGATGAACAAAGGAGACAGCTACATATTCCTTTCGCACGGAGGATGCACGTAGAATACTCCGTATAATATGCCCTTCGGTGATGGGAAACGTAGTGGAATGGGGGTTGGGTTTGCCCTTGGGAAACCCGCACTTGGGGTGGATTCTTATGGCTGCTGTGTGACATTGCCATGGCTCGCCTTTCCACTCTCCTCATCCGCCTTGCCATACTCCCCTAATGTCAAGGTCACCGTCGCAGACACACCATGCTGGCGCGGGAGATGGCAGAAAGCCTCCAAGCCGAAGCAAACCATATCGAATGGATAGGATAGAGACATTATTGTTCTCCAGGTGAGCTCCAGGCTTCCGCGCCCATAAGGTTTACTCGAGCTTGCCTCCTCGTTGATGTATATATACTTTGCAGCATCTTGTTGTATATATGGTTCGAAGTAAACAGGGACTTTCTCCAAGTGACTCTCGACTCGACTTGGCTGAAGATAAAACACCCAATGTTCGTTCCCGTCTTTTAAAAATCCTGCCGTTCTCCCCAATCAATTCTGTGGATGGTGCAGAACGCCTTTTTTTCTAACAGTTCCGTGGTTCGACTGTCCATCATGCAGGTAGATATCCAGAGCAGGCTGCATCGAAGCTGTTGAGTTTGCACAGCGCCATCACCCAGAGGAACAAAAAAGGAGCGCTAATTAACTTTCCTCCACCAAGCCTCAAAACTCTAGCTTAAATATGATCGCGTCGCCTTGCCGCAGAAGTGAATGGTGTGTTGTACAGGCGACGGCCAAGGGCCATGGAAAAAGCTGAGCCGGAATATATTGAGCGCAGGGCAGAGGATAACTAGTTAGTTCATGTTCAGCTGGTTCCAAAAAAACAAAAACAAACAAAAAAGCAAAGGAAAACTGGACAAATCATATCAGCGACTAGTTAGCCTGACTTCTTTCTCTAGCAGCAGATAACTGACTGACATGTAACCAGGCAACTATGTCAGCAGCGGACGAGGCGGACTGAAACTTGCCTTTTCTTTCTTTCATCCATCAGCCATTCATCTCGCCTCAAGAGGTAATGAGGACGTCCACTCGCAACAAAGGCCAACGGCATCGAAGATGCAAGCCGTCCATTCACAGCAGCGAGGCTCCTTTTTCTCACTTCTAATTGGACGCTGGCAGATTATTCTTCATCTGCAGAGCGGGAATCGAGAGATAGACAGGCGAAAGAAAAGAGAGAGAAAAGAAAAGAAAAAGAAAAAGAAAAGAAAAAAAGAAGAAGAAAAAAGAAAGAAAAAGCCCGACCTTGGTGGCCCCTTGACTCGTGAGTGCCCCATAACTAAGTAGATACGGGGTTCCATGTACTTTCCACCACATCGCGAGGCATCAAGTGTGTTAAACTAGTGGTGTGCCTGCTCCGTAGTTATGAGCCCAGTCAAAAATGTAGAAATACATTTTTTCTGGACTCCATACCGTGTCTAGAATCCTTCGCTAGCTCCTAGATATCATTTAATTAATTGGATGCTCCTATCGACGGGAAAAGGTCTTGGAAAGCCTCACACGGGAGCGTCATCGCGAAGACTTACCATACGGAATACGGACAAAGTGTGTCTCTAGCAAGCCCACCAGTAAGATGAAAGACACGCCCATAAAGGTTTCAATAACATAGCAAACCGAAGAAACTATGATTAATATAAAATATGCACGTATATGCATTGGGCACTGTTGACTGCAGAAGTTAGCATGCATACCAAGACAATCAAAACGAAAACGCCCTGACCTCTTTGTCAACTTTCTTGTCTTGCGAGTAACAACATCTGCAGGGATGCGATAGGGCCGTCTTTACTTGAATATCTCACTGACTGCTGCGGAATTCGTTCCAGCGTCTATGAAGTGTTGATTGGCTGCTTAACGGCAAGAGAACGGGTGCCAAGGTTGCTTTCAATATAATTTGGAATAACGTCCCCAGACTCCCCTCGCAGGCTGTGGTGCTTTGGTACCTTCGCCCTTGTTTTGATTGGATGTAGATGGCTCGGCATATCTCCCGCAGTCCGATTCTGTATAGACTTCCAATATCTCAACCCGGCGAAGTCGGATGTAGCTGCATATTCCCCCCCTGCCTTTTTCTCACAGCCTGCAGTATCATGACTCTTGGGCTCTTTGCTTTTCCGGCTCATATTCTCTCGATCAAAAGGCTCCACTACCAACATCCAGACAATAAGATGTAGAAGTCGAAGAGCCGTCTCATGTTTTCACATCTGAGGTCAGTGGCCCGTCACTTCGGCATGAAATATCGAGGGTCTGTCCATGGGTCAGACACGGGAAACGGGACAGAGAAGAAGGGCCGCCTGGAGGGTCGAACGTTGGTCTCACATGATGGCTTCTTCATGTACGGAGTACAGCACAGCCCCTTTGCCAATATTCCGTGCATCTTGTTACTGGGGAGGTTGTGGTTCTTTTTCGCCGTCATTGGCCGCAAGGGCGTCTCTTTCCACCAGCTGGTTTAGTTTATACTGGGAATCCATAACTAATCAAGCATACTTATTCTGCATTCAAGACAATTAACACGCAGTCTTAAGAGGGAGAAAAGATGAGTTGTCAGGCGTGGCTTTGGATGTTGCGGTGCAGAAATTCTTGATATACGGAGTACTGAGGTCGAATTAAGCTACTCCATGGATAAGCTTATGTCTAGAGAGTGATCGTCCCTGGACAGAGAGATCTTCGAAGAAGTCGAGTGAGAAGTCATGGTTACTGCGAGACAAGCCAAGGTCACCGTTACTCGTTTTCTTTTATCCTAGAACTCGAAGAGAAGATCTTCTTCTGGATGGATGCTTTTTCATTCCTCTTCTCCCACGCTGTGATCGACTCGAAATCAACGGTGAGTACGAGAAAAAACAAGCAAACAAACAAAACCACTTCTTCTGCACAGCGACGCCATTCCATGTCGTTCTTTTTTCCCCCTTCGAAGCTCACCAACCCAGCCAGCCCGTCTTCGGAAGAAACGTATCCAAAACCATTACAGGATGCATTGCATCCTGGAGGGCCGCTTTGCGACCGCCTTTTTGTGACCTAAAGGTAGCTACTGCATATACAGCGCATGTATACGTTCATACTATGTACGACCAAGTAAATAATAGTATGTGGCCCCGTCCAAGGCTGATCGACATGACTATGCTAATCTTGAGCCAGCCATCAGAGCCGCCACGGCAACAAAGAGAGCGGGCTTGAGAGTCCAGCAGAGAGGAACGAGGAGAGGAGCGTCCCAATCCCAGGTCTCTGGAAGATCGACCGCAAACTTTCAACTCGGGAGTTTTCTTTCCCCAGAACAAAGTGATTGATCTTCTCTCATGACACACATATGAGATGCCCTAAGGCGAGAGATGTGTGAAAGCTGCCCACATTTGCTTCTTTTCCCAGTATCTGTCTACCTACCTCTTTGCCGGCTCACTCCAATTTCGATACTGCTCAGACCACCTGCGCTAATATGAGTATTCAACGTCGGTTTTCTACCGATAAATGATGCAAAAAACCAGGAGCCGATGGTTTCTGATACAAGAGAAATAAAAGTTTCCATTAGTCCGCATATCCGTGGCGCCTGGTTGCTTTTCATATTCCCATAATTATGTCTATAATTCCATACTCCGCGCTCAGAAGCAACACCCGCACCCACACCACAACCTCCAAAAGGGTTGATTTCCACCGAGAGGCTCAAGCGCACAGTTAAGCTCCTAATCCCGAAGGTACACATTCCCTTGCAGCTCGCCACAACAGCACAAAGAAGAGCAAGCAGCAGAAGCAATCATGCGGTGACACGTACGGCACGTATCTCCCCAATCAAGTTGAAGTCACAACCACCGAGGAATGCCCACCCATCAGCAGAGTGGCAAGCTGGAGAAACAGAAAACGAGCTTGATCTTGACGTTTTGATGCATGTCATCGCATGCAATAATAATAAAATACAATCGACAGCCATCAAATCCCCCCCCCCCCCCCCCCTTTTCGCGATAAACAGATAAACTCAGCGATCTCTAGCAAGGATTACCTAATCCATGTTTGCAAAAAGAAGTTTGTGCAAGATGCAAAAAATGGCGGAGGAGCGAAAGAAAAAGTGAAACTCGCTGATGGAGAAAAGTTACGATACCTCCAGTCTTACTTACATATACAGCAACATCCACTCTGTGCTAAACAAGTGTAAGCGTCAGGGATGGCATATTTCCAGGCAAACTGGCGATGACATATCATGCACGGCAGCCGCGAGAGCGTCTCTCAAAGGCGGGAGAGCAACACGGGTAACTCGAAGCCGAGCCCTCGAACCCAAAACAGCCATGAAAAAGCGCAGCTTCAAGAGAATTCAGCGCCCAGGACTTTACATAATAGGAATCCCGAAAAAGCGGGCAAGCTCAAAGGAGCTTAGATGAACGCGTCAGCTTCAGCAAGAAGAACCCTGCTGGTGGAGAGTTTCCCCAGGATCACTGCTGGCCTGGGTACAGGGGCGCACCAGCAGACCAAGCAGACCAAGCAATCCAAGCATCCAAGCACCACAGTTAAGTTGAAGGCGTGGAGCTCAGGCGTTAACGTGAGTGATGGTGGTCTCTTCGCCTTGCATCCCGCGCGGTAGTTTGGGACTTGCATTGCCTGTTGAGTGGGGGAGAAAGAAAAAGCAACCTCTAGTGATAGTGGTGGGGGGTGAAGGACAGTCAGACGGCGAAGTGGAACCAAGACCACACGAGCATGAATTGCAAAAGCGAGGCCAGGGAGACAGTATCAAGTCTGCCATACCAATTATCCAGCCAGAAGAAGAAGCGTTTCTAACAAAGCCGACACAACGGAGTAGGATACTCTGGATCCCAAGGCAGTGTTATCAAATGGCTTGCTCAATACGGGAATTTACTCGATATCACGATCTTGGCGGTTTGATTTTGACTGCTTTCTCAACCTGTTTTCTTTCCCCTTTCTCTTTTCAATTTCTTTTTTGGCCATCTACAGTGATTTTGTAGGGAACTAGCTTCATGCTTTGTGACGACACCGACATATTTGCGGCGACTTCCAACATCAGGGGGATGGGATCCAGGGGGGGTCAGGAAATTTCGGGGCTCACAACATCACCGACTTGAGAGACAACACAGCATGGCCTTGCTACATCTGATAGGCCGCACGGAGCACTCCGCGATGGGGATACGGGGACACAAAAAAAGAGGGCATTCAAGTACGGTGTTCCAAGATTGCTCTGTGAGTCGTCGTAGTTTTGGGAACGACGTTGCAAAATGGAGTTTATCTGCCGTGTCAAGTTATACGAAGAGCTTATGCGTATGCAATCCGATGTGCTGTGATGGCGTGCAGCTACTCCAGTACACAAGGTGCTCAAAGAGATCAAACCTGATTTTACAAGGTGTATATTCCAACACCGCTTCCAAGCCAGCACGTCTATACTTACACCGATGCCGAAGCTCGATGGAAGTGTTCCGTACTCCAGTCTACTGGGGAAGTATCGCAGGTTACTTTTGACTCTTCCCAAGGCGCGAAGATGGCGTTATTACAGCCAAGCCGCCATCGAAGGGATCCGATCCTTGACCCGCCACAAGGGTGTTGCAGTATGGGGTGTTCGTTGCTTTTTCGCCTTTTTCGTTTCCATCTCACTGCGGATACCACCATCGGCGCCCCTTCTCAGCATGTGAAGTCGCTGAACGAGTCGTCATCTCCTCAGCTATATAATATATGGTATGGATAAAGAGGAGTGTTCTCCAGAGACAGGACTGAGTGACGAACACGCTGGGTGTCCCTCAGTGGGCATATATGGGCCATCCGGCAGTGCTGGCTGTCCAGGAGGTGTTTGAGATGCATTACGTGTCGTGTCTAATTGACCTGCTCGACGCCGGTATCTGATCAGCTCAAGGCTTGGCAAGGAAATAGGAATGCTGACGAAGAAAGGAGACATCTGCCAAGCCTGAAGCCCCTTTTGTCATTGGTCCACATCCCATCCCTTCAAAGCTGCTTTCAAGCATTCCGGCAGCAATTCCTCCTACAGGTAAAGAAGAGATGGGTTGAGACCAAACGTCGTGATAAGCGGGAGTTACTGCGCATATCTGATACATATAGATGGGCTCATATTATGCAAGGACGGGCTGCCGCTATGGCTTGACTGGTTCAACAGACGCGGGAGACCATATTAATAGTTCGCGTCTCCTGGAGCCAAATATCAATCAATCAATCAATAAGGTGCTATCATGGTTTACTCGCCTGGCTAGCGCCCGATGACGTTGATATTGAGAGAATGCCCCAACCGGGGAGAGACACGCCCTGCTAGCTTCATTCCTGAGTGCAACTCAACCTTCTCAAGCTTTTGATATGCTGCGCCCTCTTGATGGAGTGTTCCCCTGTCCTCTGTACGAGCTTTGCGAGACTTGGGGCTCTAATTTGCCTTTTTGCGAAGTCCCCAGCTAACGCAAGGCACAAACGGTTAGCTGAGGATCTCTTGTAATATAAGTGGCTATCAAGACTGAGTAAAAGACGGGGTCCAGGACACTCGCACATCACGACTCCTTGATGTAAGGTTCCATCTATTTGGGGCAGGAGATTGAATACTGTGAGCATTATTATGGAGTGCGAGTTGAATGTTGCAAAATGCCAATAATCCAATAATGAAGCACGCATCTTAGGCTATTCAAGAGTCCCCGAACCCGGCTCTTATGTTCGGTGAAGACCCTGCTGCTAAGCATTATATGACCGATGATATAGCCCAAGGGTCACTCACTTGCTGAACTATACTGGAGAGCACGGTTGTCCAGAGGGTCTAACGTTTCCTAATTGACACTATACAGCGCCGAGGTTTTTTTGAAACCCAACCTCAAACAGCATTAATATCAGAAATTATATCGAGCACGAAGCCGTTTGAGCACATTTTTTCATACTCCGTACGCCCACTCGCGATCTTCATAATATATATATATTCATCCGAGAGAAAGGGAACAGCATAGCAAAAGAGGAAGTACTACTCCGTCAGTTTGGATATTCTATTCCTCCCTGGCAAAGGGATTCTTCACGCTGCCGGCAGATCGCCATCGAGGCTTTCCACAGACTTTTTTGTTTTTTCCCCAGTATCCCTTCACCTTCGATACCCACGTTTTGGACGGCTATCACTACCATTCACTCCTGAAAACCACGCATTCGTGGCTCAGATCACCATCAACTCTCCACGCTTAACCCTGAGACGATCATGCTGGTTATGGCAACCATGAAAAAGAAGGGGGAAAAAAAAGGATACAAAATAAATGAAGCATTCTTATTAATGTGATCTCCTCAGGAACGGGTGGTCAATCACTCTTGGCCTATCTCTGATCCCAGACCGCCCTGATCTATCTGAGATCTCTGGCGTCTGGAGAACACCCAGGCGACGGACGTCTTCCTGTCGCTTGGGCGAGGGCAGCACAGGCTGATGGGCTGATGGATCATGCAGGAGAGGAGGACCAGCCCCGACCGAGCCAGTAGGCACGGAATTCCTGGTACTCGTAATACCGGAATACAGCGAAATCGCAATACCAAAGTTACGATACGGTTACTTACTTTACTTTTACGAATGTTACCGTACTAAAGAAGGTTATCTGGCTTAAGGTTTGGTGAAGTGCAGGTAAAGTTGGATCCGCCAAGCCCGCTAAAGCTTCGCCGGCGGAGCTTTTATATCTCACGAACTGCTTGTCGATGGTGAGGGAGCAAAGGGAGCATGATTCAATCAATAGCCTCCTCCGAAGTGATCTTCCAACGTTTATTTCTCTTTGCTCGCGGAGGATCGCCCGCTCCCAAGGATATGGACATCTTATTGCAGCCATTAAGCTTCGCTAAATGTCCAAATAGTGACGAGCCAAGAGTCAATAGATTCCGGCTGGGCGTTGCTATTTCCTTTCCGTCCTTGCTCCCTCTTCTGTTGTTTGCACTGCCTGCCTGCCCGCCTGCCTGCCTGCCCTGCCCGTCTTTTCCCCCTTCCCCCTTCTCTCATGTTTTTGATAGAATATATGGGTCGCCGGGGTTATTTGCTTCTTTCGTTTCTTCCCCTTCTTCTTCTTCTTCTTTTCTTTTTTTTGCATCTTAGCTGTCGCCCAGTGACAGGGAGCTTTGATCGGGAAAACAAACGAGATGCTGGGAAAGGACGAAAGCATATTCTTCGGATTCAACGTATATAGCGACTTAGACACCGTATAACGCGCAATCCACAATCAGGGAAGGCAAAGAGATGAATACGAAGTTAGGCGCTTTATTAAAATAATGATAGGGGGAGATCGAGTAAGGACATGTATGTCTGGCATCTCGCAGTGTGGAAGACGCAGAGAGAAAAGTAAACACGGCCAATTAACTGGATCCTGCTGCAGTCCAAGAACTGGATATCGACCGAATCACATCACCCAGAAGGGAGACAAAGGATTTAGACCCCTGTCAACAGCGAGCCATATCCTCCATACAAGCATTCCCAATCTTATATGGCTAACCAGCACTCCCCACAGCGTCCGTCCAGTCAGCTTTCGCGCCGAGAGCAGGTTACCGTCCGATTATGCTGTAACTGTGTGTGTCTACGCGCGTGTGCGGTGTGGATAGACTTGCTAGCGACTACATGGTGATGTCACAGTACATCACCGGGGGCCGGGTTGCTGCTGCGCGTTGCAGGGGCAGGAGAGATTCATCCGGAGAGTCATCTGCCCCCTAACCATGAAGCTGCGTACATTCAACATTACATAGCGCAGAAAGAGAGGCAGGGCCACAACGCCTCCGGGAGCAAGGGGATCTTCCTACAACTTTTTTTTTTCACGCAGTCTTTGGCAGCGGTTTAAGTACTGAGTCTGGGATAAACACCGCTGCTAATGCAGCTCCAAGACGGCACAGGCGTTTGACTAAGTTAGCTATCCTATACAGCCATACATTATTAGCGCTCGAACAGGCAAACGGGACAAAATTCGGGAGCCGGACGAATGGATAGCGCCTCCGTATCGTTCGAGAAGTCAACGTCCATCGACGGAGGGCAGCGGCGCTTCACTTTCAACTCGCTCAACGCACTCTTGGACCGCGAACCCTTAACCAAAACCACAGGTACGTACGGGCTAAGACGTGGAAGTACGGAAAGAGTACGCCTTGCTTGTTCCCCGGTAGCGTCGGTGTGCCTCTACCGTAGCAGAGAACTAAGAATGCCCACCCAAGTCGCAGCGTATCGTTTCATCCGCTTGGATGCCTCCTCAGCATTCCAAATATGCTTGACTCGTGGAAAAAGCATGCAAAAAAAAAAAGCTGAGCTCGTCTCTACCTGCTTGCCCCCCGTCCTGTCGTTTTGTCTTTCCTGCCACCGCGCTCCGATATCCCTGCGCATTCTGAAACGCACCGGGCCTCCCAGATGTCTGCTGGCCTCCCCCCACATCCCGTCTTGTTCAGCCTCCACTCCTTCAAGTGCTCCTTGTTTGTTCCCCCTGGCTTCTTGGCTCCGCGAGCCCCCTGCCAGCTATGATGTCAGCCCAGCCGTGCTTGGGGAGCGCAAAGACATGTGGTGAACTGCTGGTTCACTGTGAGGTGAGGACGCCCTGATACTGCGGACGTTCCGCTATGGGGGCAGAGGGGGATGTTTGCGCGGCTTCCCTTGGTCTCATCCTTCTCCTTTTTTTCGTTTCTTCCTCCAGGGTCGACGAACTCGCTGGTTTTCCCGAGAGTAGCCAACGTCGTTGGTTCTGCATCTTCCAAGGCTGCGAAACAATGTATACGCAAGCTTCCATCTACCCCATACATAGTACGGAGCCATACTCACCAGGTTGTCGCCCCGAACCGAGTCATGGTGGAGAGAACGATCGATGATCAGTCAAGACAAGATCATCTCATATCATGACTTCGACCAACAGCAACGTTCCTGAAAGCATTCCGCCTGCCTTCCATGAACGTTACTTTTTCTCTCTAGTCCAGCTTTCTTTTTTGATTCCTTCTAGAGCCTGAGCAGTGCTGCTGGCGGGCATGAAGAGACGCGCTTCTGATAGTATCCTTCGCTTTATCATGCGAAGCCAGGCGTCTGGGCCTGAAAATCACCTCGTCATCACGAAGATCAAAACAAATACGGATAAATAATGGGTAAAAATGAGGAGAAGAGCGATATATATATGACCTTGTGGAACAAACTGGCTGTTAATACCCGTTAATCAAGTGGTTTCCTCGATGCCAAAGGCGGGGGAGTACGTGCATCAAAGGGGCTACCCAGCCACCGATTTGCCAGCTCACTATCATCACGGAACTCCAGAAATAAATCTCAGCACGTATCGAGGAGTGATGTCGATGTTTAAGCAGTTGCTACGAACCTCTACTATCCAAATGCTTTTTTCTTTTTTGATGTTATTATATCCTTCCTGCGACGGAGTAATCTCTCTTCCTCCACAAATACTTCACGCAGCCCGCTCAGAGTCCGTCACATCTTGTGAAACTTGGGCTGCGCTCCAAAGGAGCATCTCAATCGGTGGTAGCACTGCAGTTTTAAGGGAAGGTGGGAAATGTACCTGCTCAGCGCTCCCAGCTCTGGCCATCGATCTGGCTAAGGGGCCGTTTGTGGTCGATTCCTGAACGATCTATAATGAACTGTAGGGGGTTGGGATGCAGTGTCACTCGAAGCCGGCAATGCAAATTGTGGCTTTCCTTCGCGATTAATCCGGCTGGGAATGTTTAAATGCATACATAGTGTGTGTGCATATGTATGCCGTCCTTTAGCCTCGAGGGTTTGCTTTTTTTTTTTCCCCTGTGCAGCAGCAGCTAACATATCCCATGGGACACTCCTACGCCTCATCCGAGTTCCTGTCTATCAGTGCGAGACTGTTCCAGGATGCCCATTCGTACCATCTTCCAACTTTTTTTTTTCTCTTATGTCTGCTTTGATCGAACGCATATGATACGTCTCAGAATGCCATGCCTCTCTCTCTGTATGACCTGGAGAATTTTGGTCGCGAAAATTACCAAGTTCCTTTTAAAATATGCAGATAAACGAGATCGAAACAGAAAAAGACATAAAACTACCAGACAGCAGACAATGGTACCCAATTGCGAAATGCCCTTCCCCCGTACGGAGTACCTTCGCGCAAGTATTGCGTTGTTTTACTTGATTGGTCTGCATAAGATGGCATTGAATATGACCTCTACCTGAATATGCTGTCCATCCCACAAAAACCATGGCTTGTACTCCGTACATACAGAGAATAGAGTACGGAGTACGTCCACGGTGTTTAGGTATGTGGAGTACGGGGTAGGATGCTGACTCTCTCAAGCCTCTACTTGGATTTGCCTCATCACTGCCGAATTCCTCCACTTGCCTTTTGCTTCAGCCTTTGTAGTCTCCTTTACAGTCTTGCTACCCCAAAGGGTCCGTGTTGCATGGGTCCCTTTTTGAATACATCAACTAGACGGAATCATGCTTATCCTACTAGTGGCTACGTTTCATATACACATCAGTGGCGTGTGTAGAGTGATTGCCCCCATAGCCTCGCGGGGAACTATATCTACCCTAATTTGACGCCACTTATACCAGACAGACCACATTATACGTCGTATAATTTATACTTAGTATGCCTAGTGCGCCCAATACCCGATGGATGAATGATGCTGTGCAACCATCAGAAACCCCAGCCGGTCATCCTTCTCCACCGCAAAGTATGCACAGAACTGGAGAAGAAACACGTTTGGCGGCGCTTATCCAAGTTGATGTCCACCGTTGAAGGATATTCGGCATCATGAAGTGGTGTAAAAAGAAAGCATCTGGAGTAAGTGCATGGTAGCAGAAGGGGTACGACAAAACACAAGGAGTTCATACCGTCTGGTGGCGGCATTGAAGTTCAATTGCCTTGAAAATCGAGGAAATACATCCAGGGAGGCATGTGAACCTACAATGGCGATATAGTTACAGCGTACAGAAGACGTGGGTGATGCAGCCATGCAAATAATCTAAAGGGGCAGGTAACATATACTCTAGAGAATATTATCTGGAACGCGCACACGGCCCAGGTACTCTATGAAGGAATATCAATGCTAGGTTGGTCAATTATCACACCATCCATAACTTACATCAGGATGAGGTTAACCGACCCTTGTGGCCAGCGTAAAAAGTGCGTTTTTTTGGTCCAACTTATACGCTAGTAGAACTGTACCACAAACTTGTAGCCTGAGCTCTCCTGGCTGCTGCTGATCCAGCTCTGCGGCCAAAGACAGCACCAGAAGTTAGGCCGCTACCTCCCGGGTAATTGCCATGGAAGAGACCACCAAGCATCTCTCCCACACAGTAGAGACCAGGGATCTGTTCATTGTTGGCCGAAGAAATGACTGTGGCCGTTTCCGGGGTCACGGCTAGTCCTCCAAACGTAAACGTAATGCCGCAGGTAACCTTCACTGCAAGATACGGTCCTTGGTCGAGAGAGAGAGCCCAGTTGGACTTGGGGAGGGACAGGCCACCGGCATGCGATTGCGTGGACAGCCCATCTTTAATTGCCGGGTTCCATTTAGCACCCGTATTCTCCTTGCGATGCTTGTAAACGGCGGCGTTATAGTCACTTATCGTGTTGATAAAGGTTTCTTTATCTAGTAGTCCAACACGAGAGCATTTCTCAGCAAGTTCGGATATTGAAGGGGCAGTGATGTGCTCAACAACCTCTGGACGGTATTCCTCTTCTCGTAACCATGAAATAGCCTGCTGGTCCCAAACCTGAAATGCAATATGTCCTGGCTGCGCAAGGATAGCTCTGCCAAACTTTGCATATGTGAAATTTCTCATATCTATACCCTCATCCACAAACCTTTTTCCCTCTGCATTGATCATCAGCCCAAGGGGATAGCCTGATTTGGTAAATTGGTTTGAGATGTCTCGGTCACCTGAAGATTGAGGAGCACTGGCGTCCCATGCAACGGAATGGCAGCCGCTCCAGTCTCCGGCCTTTTTCGCTGACATATCGCGGATTGCTATCTCAAGGCAATCGCCAATATTGTATGGAGTACCACGGACAAAGGCTTTGTCCCATCCATCACCAAGATATTGTGCCCGCACCTGAGGGCTTGATTCAAAGCCTCCAGCCGCTAGTATCACGGCTTG